ACCCTGGCCTGCAGCAAAAACACTGTGACCAGAAGGATCAGGGAACTGATTCTTCCCCTGTACTCTGCATTGGTGAAGCTGCACCTCAATTCCTGCGTCCAATTCTGGGCCCCTCACTACAAGAAGGGCATTGAGGTGCTGGAGTGTGTCCAGAGAAGAGCTGGGGAAGGGTCTAGAGAGTCAGTCTTATGGGAAGTTGCTGAGGGAGCTGGGGTTGTTTAGCCTGGAAAAAAGGAGGCTCAGGAGAGACCTTGTTGATCTCTACAACTATCTGAAAGGAGGTTGTAGCAAGGTGGGGGTCAGACTCATCTGCCAGAGAACTAGTGACAAGACAAGAGGAAATGGCCTCAAGCTGTACCAGGGGAGATTCAGGCTGGACAATAGGAGGAATTTCTTTGAGAAAAGTTTTGTTAAACATTGGAACAGACTGCCCAGGGAGGTGGTAGAGTCACCATCCCTGGAAGTGTTCAAGAAATGACAGGATGTGGTACTTAGTGCTATGGTCTAGTTGACATGGTGGTGTTTAGTCAATTGTTAGACTTGATGATCTCAGAGGTCTTTTCCAAACTAAATGATTCTGTGATTCTGTGTTATTATAGGATGCATCTTAACCAATAAGTTTTTCTGGCTAAAAAGTCTCACAAATAGGAATGTAAAGCTCACTCTCCATCAATTAGCACATAAGTTAATATTTAAGAAATTATTTGAGATTGCAACTCCATTATCTGACCTGTACCATTCTTATCTTAGCATAGAGTTGTCATGTACTCTGGACAAACTCTTGCAAGAACCGTCACGATAGCTACCCAGAGAGTTTATACCTAAAATAGAGTAAACATTTCTATTGCAATGTGACCCAGAGATGTGGGCTCACTAACTAGGAACCTGCTCAGGGCTGGTTGATGAGAACTGAAACTTTTACTGACTTACTGTGTGTTAGAGGAAGTATGATAATAGGCAATGGAACAATCAGCTATGGAAGGTGTTCAGAAGCCAGAAAAAAATAGACTTTAAAATATCCTGTCAACAGTGGTTTAAAAAATAGTGGAATTTCCCATAAGACCAGAAAGCAAGTAGAACTGTACATTAAAGTCAGACCTCTCTGTTTAGGACTCAATCGGTTTGTTAAATGGCATTTTAGATACAACTCTTCATATGTCATTCAGTTGTCAGTAATACTTTGGCCAGCATGAAATATCTTGATTGCAGAAGGGAAACTAAAAACTAATTGCAGCGAAAAAAACGTATTCCTTTCACTGGGGAAATAACAGAGAAAAGAAATATTAGATTTTGTGTTGTCATTCTCTGGGCCTCCAATTTTAATCAAACAGAAATTTGTAAACAATCAGATTTGAAATGTATCTCAAAGATTAGGCTTCTTTTGTCTTCTCAGTAAAGTTAAGGTTAACGGCAATGTTAAATTAACCACTCTCTGAAATCTTAACATAAACCAAAAGTATATTATAGAAAGTGGTAAAGCTGAAATAAAATAAACTACAGAAGTACAAACTGATATTTACCATGTAAAAAAACTAATATTGAGAAGCAGTTCATAGCATCCTATGAAACTCACTGTCCATGCCAAATACCAACAAAGATTCAGTTTTATTTGTGCACAAGGCATCAGCCCACAATTTTCTTCTGGGCACCTGGGAGCATCTGTGCCATTCCAGAAACACACAGGACTTCTGCCAAGTTGTCAAGGTTTGAGCTCAGTGTGCTACACACATGCTTTGAGGTGTGCCATGTTAGCAGGCAAATGCCATTGGTTCCCAAGAGAAGAGGGACTGGCCTTAGGGGCAGAGGCAGCTAAAAGCTGCCACAGAAGTGCTGCCACAGGAGAGAAGGCCTTCCAGGTTTTAGACAACACCGAGAGAAAGTTTGGGATGAAGTGCATTGATGCATAACTTAATAGGATTTGGAGGTTGAGGTAGAATAAAATTGGTCTACTGTGTGAAGTCCTGAACCCCACTGAAATCAGTGCTTTTGTTGCTCATGTGAGCATGTATTGCACTCAAAGTCTTGTTTATGGGCAAAGCAGAAATACACATATGTGATCATAATTTACTGTTACTATAGTAACACTACTATGGTGGAAATCTTTAGAGTCTAGTAATTATTAGTCCAGATCTGAATATTAGAGAAAAAATAACAGTACAAGTAGAATTTTTATGCACACTCATGGTAAGTTGCCAGCACCTGGAGTCCTTTTCTGAGAGGAATGTAGTGTTAATTGTGATAGGTTTTTTCCTCAGTATAGGATATTAACAGATTAATTTTTATGTGCTTACTACCACACTTTTTTCTTTCTCGTTTGATCTATATCTCTACGTTATGCCTGAATGATCTATATATGATGTCTTTTATACACGCTAGATACTATTTCTTTGTTCTCTTTGTGACATTTTTTTTTTAGCAGACTATTTGGTGATATATTTTTAGCTATGGGATCTGCAGTACCAAGCACACGCCCCACGTTTTGTTACCCCATGACTGCCCAAGTGTGTGCCACATCCTGTGGCTTCACTACTCAACAAAGCTGCTGTTGAACCAGACCTGTATTTCTTTACACTACATCATCGTGTCAGAGTCACAAATATCTCAGTCTACTTTCAAGAATTGCTACTTGCTCCTACATATCTAAAACTCTGATTGTGACACAAAAAGATGATAAAAATAAAATAAATTAGACATAAACATCAAGCCAGTTATAGAAATTTTTGTCACACCTAAAACAAGTATGACAAAACTGCAACGGGTCAAGAAAAGTTTGGATTGAGCATGCCTCTCAAACCTCAGTACTGAGACCTTAAAAATTCACTACAAAGCTTGTGGCCTGTTACAAGTAATGGCAATATCTTATAGAGCTGCATGGTTGCATAAGACTGAGATACAACTCACTTCACAAAAAATGGGGTCTAAACAGAGTGAGATTTATTTGTGTGCAACTTTAGTGGGCACTGGCATTTATTATGGTGTTTATTTCATGGTTTAATTAGTTATGGAAACAACTGCACAGAAAAGAGGTTTTACATACAAATTAAATCACAGAATCATAGAACATGTGAGTTGGAAAGGACCCACAGGAACCATCGAGTCCAACCCTTAGCCCTTGACAGGACCATCCCCAAGAGTCACAATCATGTGCATGAGAGTATCATCCAAATGTTTCTTGAAGTCTGTCAGGCTCTTTGGGAACTGTAGTAGCTCTGCAGGATGCAACAGACTGTAGTGGGTTTCTGTGTCTAGATTTTGGCAGCGGGGTGCAGGGGGTGGCTTCTGTTAGAAGCTGCTAGAAGCTTCCCCTGTCTGGTGGAGTCAATGCCAGCTAGCTCCAGGGTGGGTAGAACCAATTAGGAATGATAGTAGCTACTCCATGATAACATATTAAAGAACAGAAGGTTGTTGGGCAGATGAAAATTCCAGCCAGGGAAGAGTGGAGTGAGAACATGGGAACAACAGTGTATACACCAAGGTCAGTGCAGAACGAGAGGGAGGAGGTTCTCCAGGTGCCAGAGCTGAGGCCCCTGCAGCCTGTGGTGCAGACCATGGTGGAGCAGCTGTGCCCCTGCAGCCCACGGGGGATCATCGGGGTGCAGAGACCCATCTGCAGCCCAGGGGAAGCCCATGCTAGAGTAGACGGATATCCAAAGGAAGCTGTGACCCCATGGGAGGCCCAAGATGGAGCAGGGTCCTTCTAGGGACCTGCAGCCTGTGGAGAGAGGAGCCCACATTGGAGCAGGTTTTTCCCGGGTAGGACTTGCAGCCCCTGTGAGGGATTCATGCTGGAGAAACTCATTCATGGAGAAGTGATCCATGGGACAGCAGTTTTGTGAAGAACTGTTACCTGTGAGATGGACTCTTGCCAGAGAGGTCCATCAAGGACTGTCTCCCGTGGGACGGACCCCACAGGAGCAGGGGAAGGACTCCTCTCCCTGAGCAGTAGCAGAAACAACAACTGACCGTAATCCCCATTCTCCATCCCCCTGCACCGCTGGGGGGGAGGAGGTTGAGTTTCAAAGGAAGAAGGGGTGGGGGGAAGGTGTTTTTAAGGTTATTTTACTTCTCACTCTTTTGCTCTGATCCTGTTAGTAATAAATTTAATTAATATCCCCACTTTGAGTAAGTCATCAGTAAGTGACGTCTCCCAGTTCTTAACTCATGAATCCTTCGCTGTTCTTTTTTCTCTCTTCTGTCCAGTTGCAGAGGGGAGGGAGAGATTGGCTTTAGTGGGTATCTGGCATCCAGCCAGGGTCAAACAACTACACAGACTTAGTGCAGTGTTAGTGCAGAGGGGAGAAAGAAATGGACAGGTCTCTTTCAACTACATCACTTGCAGATGATCAATGAGAGAGTCTAAACTTTGAAAATTCATTTCTATTATAGTAAATTTTAAATTGTTCATTTCATACTTTCATCTTGACTAACTACTCTTTTTCCAGTGGATCAGAATTCCTACACAACTGTAAATCGTAATTAAAATATGTTGCAGTAAACAAAAGCAGTCCAACTTGGTGTTCCTGTTCTCTTCTCACTCCTTCAAATGTACAGCAAATTCATCCTTGATTCTCTTTCATTGCTTCATTGGCATTGAGATGATCATTATTATTATATGTGTTGTTTCCCAGCATGTACTCTATTCCTTGGTGGATGAAAGTTTGGTGAGGTGAGTAGAAATACAAACCTCATTCCTGCTATTTGATAAACACTGACATAAATGATAAATGTAGCTTATGGGATTAATATTGCCAAAGTACAAATACATCCAAGCAGAACTACACCCGTACATAAGATTGTACTATCTTTCGAATTACGTGAGTGAAGCCCTGGAGTTTAAAACTTTGTCTGTTGAAGTGGGAGCAATAAAAGTGGAGTTTCTGATCTCCTGGGTGTCCTGGTTCCATCCAGGACAGGGTTAATTTTTGCAGTAGCCAGGAGGGGGCATGGCTAGGACGGGGAAGTTATTCTATATCACCTCACATTATTGCGGGGGGTGGGGGGAAGGGACTCTCTTCAAGGGAAATGAGGCTCCTTCAGATCAGGTAAGTGTGGTGGAGGGAATGGCAGGGTAACTCCAGTTGCCAGTTGTGAGCAATCACCAGTGAATTGTTTGCCTGTCTTGTACACTTTGTTATTGATATTGTAGCTGTTACTGTTAATTTTCTTATTCCTGTTTCCAGTAAATTGTTCTTACCTAAAGCCGTGGTCTTTACCTTTTGTGTCTCCAGTTCTCCTCTCCAGTCTGTCACAGGGGTAGGGCAAGGGGGAAGCGATTGAGCAGCACATAGTATCAATAAGAACACTATACTGGAGATACTATTCCTAAACCGTGACACTGGGGTATGTGGTTGCACTGCATCTCTCAGACATTGCTTAAAATCTTTAAATTACAGCAATACCCTAGGATCATACTAGGCTCCTTGGCTGCTGTGGTTTTGTCAGAAAAGTATTTTGAACCTCATCAAGAAAAGGGTTGAGGTAATTTTAGACAACAACCTGAGCATTTCCTTTTTTTTTTTTTTCTCTTGAAGTTCTCTCTGCACTGACAGATGGGACCAAGTGGCTAGGATGATGGAAATAGGAAACCCTGGGAGACTGAGGACACAGAAGGGCTCAGCACAGCAGACAGGCGGTCTCATGAACTGTTACACAACAACACAGTTCGGGCTTAGAGTACACAGCGCCTACTTCTGGCAGAAAAACAAATTACTTTGGCCAGAAGCGAGATCGTACTTAGTTTTGTGGAAGAATGCTGATATTAATTTTTGAAGAGAGAATGAAAAGTAGCTGTCCTGTCAGCAATGGAATGAAACAAAAACCCTGTTAAGATAAGCTTCCCTCCCAGCATTTCTCATAAACTATGGAAAGCACTGCGTTTCTAGTACTCAAAATCTAAGGAGAATAAATGTAATGTGATCTTTTTGCTCTTTATTGTGGGAATTTGACCATTTGCTTTGAGAGCAGAAGGATTATTGAGACACCTCTGTACGCCAGCCTCCACTGTCTATTTAGTAAAGATGAAATGTGGTACACTTTTGTTCAGATCTGTGAGTTTGACAAGCCTCTTAAGGTCTGGTCTTTAAATTTTACTCTACTTTCAGAAAACTTTTCTCTTCCTAGATGCTTACATTAGGGGGGAAAAGCCTACCTGAAATGCAAGAAAAAGTGTTTTAAGGCATTTTTAGACTTATTTTCCTGTACCTTTCAAATTGGCTATAAAACAGCCTAATTAAAGTCTGTCCTGTCAGGAAAAGGAGTCTTATTGATTCCCTATGTTTCGCAGCTAGGCTTTAGGACTCAAACCAACGATATACAAAACAATTTTTAAATCATAATATGGGTTTCTCTTTTCAGAGTCACTTCAAGCTGTGGCGCACAGCAATTCAGAAGTGCACAACCATTATTTTTCAAACCTTTCCAAAAGAAGCTTCAAAGTACTGCCCCTCAAATGGAAATGATTTGGCCATTTGTAAAGCACTACTTTTAGTGCAAGGAATGGAACATGGGTTTGGGATTGCTCTATATGCCACAAACCATTCTGTTTGATGGTAAATCCTCCCTAAATTTCTCCTAACTTTTTTCCAAACAAGGAAGGGTGTAGAAGTGAAATCCCAGATTACCCGCACCAGTGCAAAAATCTTCCTACAGCACTTTGTTTCTAAAATTAAATTATTTTGCTGGAAAAGAAAAGGAAACTGCATTGTTAGGCAAACACTTTTAAATCTTCCCCTTTGGGATGCAACTAGGTTCTCTCTGGAACTGGGAAGAAACTTATTTCCTTCTGTGTACATGTGGCCTGTGCACTTCTCTTGATTTTTTTCTCCATGTCTTTCTCAAGTGATAGAGATTGTGGGACTAGTTTGGCTTTGATGTGAATCTGTCTCTCCTATAGTGGTTTCTAGAGAAAGTCTAAAGACCTTTAAATATAAAAAGCTAAATTCTTTTAACTGAGCAACAGAACCTTTTTTACATAACAAAAGCTCAAAATAAGGAAGATAAAATGGAAATTAAAGTTATTAAACTTCATGGCTTGGAAGATGTTATTGAACATCTCCATCCCAGACCATAGTGCATGTCCTTGCTTCTAGGTAGTCACACAGCAGCTCCCACACGGCAGCAAACTGCTATCTAGGGAATTTCTTTCACTCTGTCACCCTTTCCGGTCCCTGGGATTGAGCCTACATAGACACATCAAACAGCTCTAGGGAACACTCCTGAACGCTGTGAGTCAGTGATTTACACAGACAAACTTCTAGATCAGTCACTGACTGTGCTAGGTGTTGAGCAAGGCTGTCCCTGAAAAACCCTGGGTGTGCTTCCAGAGCCAACATGGATGAAGATCATTCCCAAAAGGTGCACAGGACTCAGTCACCCTGTTTCAGAGGGTCAGAGAGTCTCATAATGCAGACAGGGGCTATTCCATGCCAGTTGAATGCAGTGTGAGAGATACTAGAGAATGGTATGGCAAACATCAACATAGGCTTAGTCTCTCCAGAGACCGTAATGTCTCTGCAGAGCACCTTAGCCACCATACAGGTGCTGATGGATCTGCCCATCACACCTTTCAGCTCCCTCCTCTCCTGAGCAGCCTCCAGGACAATCTCTGTCTCCAATCTCAGTACTTCCAGTCCAGTCAGTACTTTTTAAATTGACCTGTCAAAGTAGTGCACAAAAACCAAATAAGCAATTGCTGGGATTTTTGTTTATATACAAAATCAAGGCAAATAATGAGTACTGTAGGTCAACTCTGCAACACAGAGAATCTCTGCAATGCAGAGTTCACTTACCCAGACCAACACTGGCTGCCGATTTTGTATAAACAAGCATTTTCTCACAGGCTTGGTAGGTATTTTATGAAGAACCAAAGAAGGAGGAATAATTGTTGCATCCAATATGATTTGCCTGCTAGGATCATCTCACCACAACAGTTTTCCAGCCATGAAGAAGCCTAAGCCACTGGTTGTGCTTAGGTCTGTTGTTACCTCTACCTACAGCAATCTGAGAATGAGATATCTGGCTTAAATAAATCTTTAGATATTACAAAATATTTGTGTGAACCTTATTGACCTGTGGTATAAAGAAGGTCAGACTTCATGACATGATGATGTCATCTGTCTCTTGCTTCAGCAAGGCTAGAAAAAACTGACATTTTCAATAATGTTTGGTCAAGGTATGTTAGAAGCACAAATGAAATTCCTTTGTGATATAACTTTTCAAGGAGGTCTCCTGGCCAACCTGCAGTTATATCCCATATGATTATCATAAACCAAACATCTACTTCCAGTAAATATTCTGTTAGGTGAGAGAAAACAACAAAAGAAAATACCGACATATCCCACTTTTCAAATCAGCTACCCACTGTGAAAGTTAAATAACTCTTTTTCAAGGTTGTGGATTTCTGAATAAGTAAAAAGAGATAAAAGCCTATAATAAGGGTTTCAGTATAGATGACAGAGTCTTAACATGACTTTTGAGCATATATTAATGCATTTTGTATTAATTTCTTTTTCCTTTTTCTTTTTACTGAATCTGCTCTGATGTTCAATAAGCATAAATGAATTTTCATTAAAAAGGAACAATGAAAAAATGAAAGCTTCTTTTAACAAAAATTTAAAAGTGGGAAATTGTGTTGTGATAATTGTGTAGCAAAGCATGGGTATACACTGTATTTTAAAAAGGGAGGAATTATGGAGGTATAAGAAGAAAACAAGATGAAATGCTGACAGAACTGGCTAGAAACAAGTGTCTTTAAGAGGTAATGTATTAATTTTCAGAAAAATGGTTATTAACCCTATTTCGAAGTGGCCTCGTTTCTTTTGCCTGTACACTCCTTTCAGGTTAATGGTTCTCTAATGCTTGAATGAAGAGCAGTGTATTTTCTTGCATTTAGTCTAGGTTTCCAACCAAACAATAAAAAAGGAGCAGAATTTGCACATTGTGGTGTGGAGAATAGGAAAGAGTCCTTCTGTGGTAGAATTTAACCTTTAAAAGGATATAAACCAGAAAGTGGGAGAGAATTGAAATGGGAAAAAGAAGGGAAGTAAAAAGTCAGAAAGGGACCAAAGGAAAGAAAAAATAGAGAAAGCATAGGTAGAGACAAAAATTTTTTAAATGTGAGAGATTTCTATTTCTGCAAAAGAATTGAAACTGCTACAGTAAAGAGAGAAAGACAAACTTAATTAGTGACATGAAAGAATAGATTTTACAGGTCTTCATTGTACTGAAACTTTTGTTAAAAAGGAAAGTTATGTCCTTGTGTGGGAATGTGCCTAGGTCTGTTGATGACAAGTTTTGGGTTGTATGGGAGATAGTATGAAATATTTGGATGGATTTGCAATAATATTATGTTCAGTACAAAGATTTTTAAACAGTGAATATATTTTCCTCACTCTATATCAAATTTTGAAACCTTAAACCAGCTGAAAAACATAAGAAGATGTTTGTAGAGGTCTGCAAATAATGACAGAGAAGTCATGTGAATTCAGACGGAGGGACTGGGTTGCATGTGAGGACATATTTTACAGGAGTTATTTTTTATAATTTTGAAAGAAAAAAAACTGAGAAAAAAAATGTAAAAGTTTTAAAGACTTAATAAAGAGGATCCTGTGATTTGGAGAGAAGTCAGAATAAACTTTCAGAAAGGTAAAAACTGGTGAGAGAAATCCCTACACCAAATGTAGGATCTACACCAACAGGACCAGCTGATCAGCAGCATGCTCTCTGAGGCTGCTGACAGCATGTCTGCAGAGGGACTAGCAATAGAGGGGCTGCTGCTAGGAGAGGGGCACATGGCTCAGGTGCCCCAAATGCTCATAAATACTGAGAGATGGTGTTAAGAAAGGAGGCACTGTGACTTAAGGAAGCTCTTCAGATCTGCTCTGAAAGCTGCAGGCAATTTAGCAGTCAATGCTTTTGTGCTCCATCCTGAAAACAGGCATTGCTGGAGTACTAAGGTGAAAGAAGCCTTTTTGAACAGAAACACTAAGCATTGGGGGGAGAACAAAAGAGTGAGTGAGATGAAGTAGGTGACAGGAAGAGCAGGCTGAATCATACAGTACTCAGAGACTTACATGTGCCCAGTTATCCATACACCCTCTGAGTCTGGCTTGGTAAAACTCTTACCACTCATGTCTACTTCTATAACCATCAGTGGTCACGTCTCACTGACTTACACTTAAAATGTCTTTCATTTATTGGATTCTAGGGAATTTCTTCTGTTGTGAATGTCTCAGTGGGACATCCTTCAACTCTGTGTGGTAATCTTTGATACTTTTAAATGGAGAAAGGAGAAAACAATATTACAACACAGAAGAAGTCTTCTGTACTGTGAATATGACAAATAATTTCAAACTCTCTGGAACAAGATGCAGAGGAAAAGCCAAGAAGTAGGAGGTAGAATAAAAATAGAAAGGAAGGGAAAACAATCTAGAATTAATCTAATTTTTTCAGGGGACATGACCATACCAGTTACTTTATAAATGTAGTTATATATTTAATATATGTTTAATACCCATAAAATGAGAATACATAAATAGGAACAAAAAGGACTAAAGATTAAAGACTTTTCTGTTTGACTCATGGTTTATAACTGAAACAGGATACCTGAAACCAAGGTACATTTTTTTAATGTACAATTTGAAAGTTACAGCAGCTACAAGACTTAATCCAGTCTAAGAATAAAGAAATTAATATATTAGCTAACATAATGTGTAAGGTGTTGCTCATCTTGAAGTTGGTGTAATTGTGCCTGTGTCACAGGGATTGAATGCAGAAGAGTTGGCACTGTATGTCGTCTCCTGAGAATGCTTATCAAATATCAGCACTGCTGCTGGAACTGTGAGTTCTGTCTCCTCCTGGTAATATCCCCTAGAGGCAAACAACAGTGACTTAAAGTAACGTTGATCACAAAAGTAAAATAACTTTATTAAGACGTGAGTAGCACGTACATGTATAATAGACAATGTATAATAGACATACGTGCAAGGCTACTTCTATGCAATTTTGCTCTCTTTACTATTTTTGTTTGTTTACTACTGGATTTTTAAAATGCATATATCTGTGTGTGCATTGTACCATAATGAGAATTTTTCTGCCTATATTTCCATGCCTACTTAAATTTAACATTTACTGTCATTCCTCTGAAATTAGAAAGTTGAACTGATTTTGAGCTCACTGCAGAGACTCCTCACAAATGGCTTTTCAGCACTCCATGCATAAAAAGATCCTGATTTTGAACAGCACAGTAGGGTTATTTAAACTGAAAAACGTTACTGAATCAGAATAATGCAGAAAACCAAAAAAAATATACAAGGCTGTGGAGGATCAAGCATAATGTCTGGCATTTCATTGAGCTTTGTAATCAAGAAAGACACAGTTTTTATTCTACTGTATCTGTAGAACTATCACTCAGAGTTTTTCCTGCAGAGTATTGACTAAAAATATACTTACCAAGTGAAATAAAATTTAGCAACTGCGTATTGTCAGATCGACTCTTACCACTCTGATTCCTAAGACTGAAATAGTAGACTAGAAAGTAGTCAAAGTTGTGAACAACCGTATCTTCTGAATCATTCTGAATTACTGTGACCAGAACCAGGGACTTTTCCCAAGTCCTCGAAAAAATTTTACTTTAAATTACATACAACTCCAACATACTTGGGGTGAACAATATGAGGAAATAATATATTACTCTTTTGACATTAAAAATCATTAATCATGTAAAAGAAAAGCAGTCAATTGTAGTTTATAAATGGTATTTTAGAATATTGAAATATTGATATTAAGTAGTCCTAAAAAGAGAAAGATAATGGGATAAGAAATGTTGTTGGAACCATTTTTCCCTCATCAATAGAAGAAGGAAACATTCACTAAATCTTTTGAAAAGCAAAAAGGATAACAGTGAAACCATAAGAACTATCATACATTTATGAAATTTTCAACTTTAGTTTCAGAGCAAATTTATTTTGAAATTAGTGCTAGTGAAGTTAGTGCTGTGTAGTGTTGCTCTCATTTTCTTGTCAACTTTATGGCTAATGAAGGGAATCAGTGTTATGTAATTAATTTTGATAACTCAAATCTGTCAGTTGAGACAGAGCAGTATTACTTTTAATATTGATTATTCTTTCTCTTAAAAAGATCACTCCATATAGCTTGCTTTCAGTTATGAATGTGTTTACCTTTCCTGGTAATTTCACATGCCAATATAATCTGTACAAAATCAGTGTCTTTGTCAATTATCGAATGTACTGAATTAAAGCCACATTCCAAGCTTGCTACACTCACTGAATGCTGTTATTAAAGGTATCATGTACAGACTTCTGACAATACAACTCATAAGGTTCTGTTTAAATTACTATAATCCAGACCAAGACATATAATTTATAGTGGTCTTCAACAAAGAAAATATATGAAGACTTCAGGTTTTATTGCCTTTCATTATTAAAAAATAATTTAAATAGCCAATAAGACTGTCTGCATTATACTGAAATCATCGCACTTCAGTCTGACTCTGTCTAGCAGTACGCTTCAGTTGCACCAATTCAAAATAAAAGGATAGAGATAGTTCTGATAGTTAGAGCAGAATATTCCCAGTACTAATTTCCTCTGCTGGGCACACTGTGTCATCACCTACATCTTTGTGGAGAGCATTTAAGGCAGAACTAATGCAGACATGCTGGACAGAAATTGTGAGTGTGGAGGCAAATGAAATAACTACAGAGCTGACTACCCTCCATGCTATAAAGAAGGTGTATCTTACCAAGTTTTTAGAGAAGGAAATGGTTATAGAACACCAAACCCCACAAAACCAGAAAGATAAAGATAATGGGGAAAAAATTCTGTGGAAATTCTTTTAAGCAACATTGTATTTAGTTTTGATAAAGCAGCAGATTATGTTCCAGGATCTGAAGTGTTGGGTTTTGAGAGCAGAAGAGTTTGTAGAAGGAAATATACAAAAGGTGAATCTGTGTCTTTTCTCCTTGAGTAGAAGCTCAGAGAAGTAAGAAAAGATGCAGGATTCCAGCAGATACTAATTACCACCTCGAGGGAACGGAATGAGAAACCTTAGCTCCCTGAAGCTCCCTGAAATGCATCTTTGCTTCCAGAAGAGCAGTGTGCCATATTTAGATAAGACCTGTCCACTTCTCATCTGTACAAATATTGAAGCAGTAGAAAATGATATTTTCTCTTCTCTTAGGGAAATGTAGGCACAGAAAGGCTGCAGTGGAATTAATCTACTCTAGTGTTAGCTAACTATTGGATATCAAAGCTAAGCTGTTTTTAAAGGCTTCTTTTATTCTCAACAATGGAATAGAGAAGAAAGGCTTTGCCCCAGTACAGAAGTGTCATTACTCATAGAGAGTGAGTACACAATGAATCTGATTTTCAGTGATTTACCATCTCTTTACTTTTATTGTTTTACTGTCTGTGACATCATGTAATATCATGTCATGTCATTCAATTCAATTCAAAAAGTCTGCTAAATTTAAAATAATATTAGAGATAAATCAACAATCTCAAAGACTTCTGTTGTGCAGGACTCTCATTCAAATCAATGGAAATGTATGTTCATAAACCTGGAAAAAATCTATGAGGTCTAATTATAGGCAGCTTAATTGCTTCTAGTAACAGCACTGAAAAAAAATTCACAGCTTTTTCTAGGACTGCAGTAATTCTGCAAAAATTCCACTACAATTCATTGAAAGAGAAAGGAAAGCTTTTGGTCTCTCTCATATTAGGAGGCATTTATAATTAGTAGTATGTTAAGTTTCATGGAAATAAAGTTTTTATAGGAATTTTCATATGTGTTCCACTCTCTAAAAATAAAATACAGCTTTCTCTAAGTAAATTTTAATACTGGGTATGTTAGCAATGTCTTATTTATCACCAGATTTTTACATACTATGCATTATATACTATTCACTAGAAAGAATTTCACAAGAACCATTCTCTTGCAAAGACTGTATATTTTTCAGTTATATTTTTCAGGATCACATAAAAATTTACCTGTTGCTTATAGGATAAAATTAAGGATAATATACTAATAATAACCTGTGAGAAAGAAAACTGCCTGAAAACTTGTCTGTTTTGACTAGATAAATAATCTGGTTTAATAAATCATGTTGCTTCTCATACAAGCCTTGTTCTTCTTGTATATTGAGGCCATCAAATTGCTAGGGTAATATGCAACTTTCTCAAACATTAATTGTAGCTAAAGCAGACACAGAATTTTTTCTTATTTCTCAGCAAAATATCTAGCAAGTAACAAAAACAGAGTGGCCAGGCCTTTACAAATTTCATGTGATGGTATTAACTTGCTATTAGTCCCAAAATTTTGAGCCTACTCTTAAAGCAAAGAATTTTCTTAAGAGCACGTTAATTTCTCTTCAGAGGTAAACGGAATGGTCTCTTCATGATCACCCTGTTTCAAGTAGTTTCTGTGATTCGAAGACTGAAAAATAAAAACCGATGTGAACTATAGCTGAAAGTCTTGACAGAAAAAATAAGATAATTGAAAAAATTGACAGAAAAATTATGAAGCGATAAAGCGATAAAGCTTCATAATATTGTCAGCATGTGCCAATATTCATTCCATGAGTCCAGCTATCACCTCTATTTGCTTTTAGGATGAAAAATATTTCAGTTTACAAAACATCACATGGTCATAATCAGATGCCTAAGTAAGATTCCCTGCTGTTGGTGAATAGTTTGATGCTAACAGATGCACAGAATGAGCAGTAGCATTGTTTGATTTTTATCCTACACTATAAAATTGAAGTACTTTGGAGAATTTAGAAATAGATATTCAAAATACAAAAAATAGAGGATACCTTTTGGTGAAAATTATTGTAAAAGATCCTTTTTGTTATTATTGTTTTGGTTTGGGTTTTTTTGCTTGTTTGTTTTGTTTTGTGTGACTGGATCTAGACTGCAGGGATAGATAGTGCCATGGTTATTCATGTTTAAATAAGGAATTTTTTTTTCCTGAATTTTTTTTTTTTGGTGAGTTACAAGATTTTTTCCTAAGAGCAATTTAAGGAATTGTCAAAAAGCCAAAGGAAATAATTGAAATACATAATTTAAGAAATATCCTAATAGAAATCAGAAGACAATGTTACATTAGGCTGCTATAATTTTATTTACAGCTATTGAAATTATAAAGTGCTTAAAGGGAAAACAGTTAAGATAACAGCAATTAGTTTGTTCCAAATGGAAATGGATAAAAGGCGTTTTGATTTGTTTGTGCTGAACAACTTGTCTTCTGATAAACCACATCATGTATTTTCCTTCCAGTTCTCCGGGTAGTATAGAGAAGGTAGAGGCCAACACATTAAAGTTCTTATCTCTGCAACTTCTCTTTGGAAATGTAGCCCAATGTGGATGTGGTAAAAGTCCCTTTTTATCTCTGCCTCATTTTGTTGGAGAATCTTGAATGGCTTTAAAGGCCTTTCTTCAGCCTGAAAAGTCCTTTTCATCTATTCTCTTGGCTTTAAAACTACTCATGTTATATTCCTTCATATTCCTATATGACAGTGATTTAAACAATAGTGCTGTTGCTGGAGCGAATAAGAATTTCTAAGGTCTGGTGGCAGCTTTCAATAAGTTCAGATGCATATCACTGGTGCTGATGTGCTTCTTTTGGCAGTTAATCATCTCTAGTAGAAACGTTAAACTTCCTTCTCTGATAAATAGAGGACATGAAGAAGAAAGCCATAGCATCTCACTACGGGACGCATTTCTAGTCTAGTGGCTGCTGTAGATTGTCATTCTTATGCTGTACCTCTTGTTCTGTTCCTAGATTGTCAGCTTATTTCTGGCATTCTCCTAGACCATTGTGG